GATCGCGAACTCTGCCGACGCTGCCCCTTCGGACTATTCTCGGGACTGTAGTGAACTTGAATACTGCATTGTGACGCAAACTGGACCAACAGGATGCCACAATGGACTGGCGACGGTCTATTATTCAAATGTGGTGAGCTCGCGGTTGGACAACAAGTGCTAGGACCGGACCCGTGCAAGTGATACCTTCCCAGTGAAGTTAAACCACGGTGGGTTGAGCACCCTTCAGCACGATTGTCCGGGACAGTGCCAGACAGCTAGCTTACCGTCTTGACCGCTCGGAGCTCCGATCCCGGTGCTGGAACTTGCACCGAGATGATGGAGGTGCATACTTGCGGTTGTCGAGATCTGGTAGGATCCATTGATCACACACGTTCAGTGCCGTTACTACCGAGCCATAGCGTGCGTGCAGTCAGCCCTAGAATCGACAAGTCGTTGCTATGCCAGTGGTCAATCATTGAGACTTACCGCGTCGTCTGCATGTCAACAAAGACAAGTCATCGATGAGCTCGCGCTGCAGCTCTATGGCTTGCAGGTGACGTACCTCGACCTATCTCTAGTCGCATGACTGTTCGACATTGAGACGCGAGGAGCAACACAGTGTCATTGGCCATATGTGTGAGTGCTACATGTTTTCAGGCTTGGGCATGGCCGTAGAACTGATCTACAGCGCAATCTTATTACATTTCAGTCAGTATCTCGCTCACAATGGCCTGACGGCATGCGTTCGAGCAATACTTATGAGGACTTGCACCAACGGCAATACAACATACCGTATACCACCAGACATAGAGTAAATAGGAGCATATATAATGTCCTGAGCGGCGAGAGATGGGCTGCGATGACGGGTCCGTAATACAGCGCAATCGCAAGGACGAGCAATTAGATAAGGACTTACAGATATCAATCACATTGTACGCGCTACACGGAGCTTCTTCTGGTCCAACGTTTAGAAAGAACGTCCTGAACACTAAAAGATGGGCTGCGATGACGGGTCCGTACTACTGCACAACATGAAAGGAAAGAGGAGACGGATGAGCTCTCACAAATAACAAATGCATTGTGTGCACTATAAGGTAGCTTCTTCGAGCTATCGTCTAGACGTGCCGTCCTGAACGGCGACGGATGGACTGCGATAGCGGGATCATATCAGCGGGGATAAGTAGAAGTGAATACAAACACTTACTGACTATACACACCTTGTATGCCCGTTAGCTTGAATGATCCCAAGGTCTCTGTGCGAATGGGGACAGATGGGCTGCGATGACGGGTCTTGACCCGTCCACAGCCTGGGCATTATTCAATACCCTGGAAGCGACGGATTGATTGTCATTAGCTACACCATACTACCCTCTCGTCTCAGGCTGTAACTCAGGCTGTAATAATTTACTTGTTGTAACATGTTCAGGGACGTCCTGAACGGCGACGGATGGGCTGCATCGTGATTGTCGTGGAATGCTTACTGGTTAATCACAACCCACTGCCCGTCCTTGCCATATACACTCGGATCAATACTCTACGCCGATTTGTAGACAGTGTCGGAAATCATATCCAGTGATCATCCAGGCGTGCATCTGCTGGAGAATGCACTCTCGATGGACGCGGACAAGGCTCGATTGCAACTCCGACGCACGACGCGTCTCGAGCCCGACGCGTCTTGTGCTCCCTCCAACTCTGGGTGATATGCCCGCTTCCGTACATCCCGACCGACTTTCAGCTTATAGTCAATGTTCATGGTCTGAACGAAGCTGAATTTCTTCTTTTACGCGTCTTAACGCCTCCGCGGGACTGGTTCTTGCTGCGCGCGAAGCCTTCGAGCAGCAAGTAACATATCCATGTTATTGCTGCTGCTGCATACGATGGCAATGCTGGACACCGACATTCATCCAGAGCCTATTCAGTAGATAGACGCGTTTGACTGCCTCTGACGACATTCAGAGATCTACAGAACCCATCAACCTCAGCTGTCCGATCCTGCATTGATGGGACCTGTCCCTGACTTGCCCTGCGCGTCGTTAGCCACGCAGCTCGTCGAGGACTGCGCTACGGACGATTCTGAAGGCAGCGCGATGCGGAGGGATGTCGAGGCAAGTGGGGAAGACAACGGAGCTTACGCGGTGCGTCTTCCTGTTCGTACGCTTCGCCTACGGACCTGCCGATTCTGTTCCTATGCCACGGAGTGGAGTTACCGTGCGCGTACGAATGCGCGGCCTCTGCTCTCTGTTGACGGAGATAGCGTTGTTTTGCGCCATCTCCGCTGACAGCGGGGATGGGGCAGTAAATTCAGTTCTCGGACGGCCCTCGATGCTTGCGCGCGCATTACACATTCCCCGAAGCTTCGCTCCATTCCATGGGCGCAGGAGTGAGTATCCGTACTGTCTGCACTGAAATCCCTGAGGCTCGGCCTACCGTCTCGTATGCTGTGAGTGTCTATTTCGTCGCTAATCATAATCAGCGTACGACGTCTGTGCATCGGCTGGTCAACACGAAGCAGGACTCGGCAGAGGGGAGCTCTTACCCTTGCCGAGAACTCTCGCGCCTTGCGCGGTTTCCGCGGACGAATGAGAAGCGGAAGCAGCCGATCGTTGACTCACTCCGTCGAGGAGTAATGGCGTCGGCTTCCCCTTCGCATTCGCCGCAGTCAAGAGGGAGCTCGTCTTCCTACCTGGCGGTAGTGTCATACGGCTGCTAGTTCGCGAAGCAGGTACGTGCCGTGAACCCGCGTTGTTGATTGAAACGCAGAAGCTAGTCAACGGCGAGTGCTCCATTCCTGCTGGTCTGACGTGACAGCGGGAGTGGCACCGATCTCTTGGAAGGATTCATGTTGATGGATTGATTTTTTGGCCTTCTTCCACGGTTCAGCCTCTTCCGCGTCTCTCGGTAAGGCCAGATGCTATCCAAGGCTTATCCTCGTGTGTAGCGAATTCTCTGGCCTCCCAGCGCGGTGCGATAACTCTCGCGTGATGTACGTTCACGGATATCCTACAAGAAAGTACCGCTTCTGGGGCGTCCGCGGACTAGACGGACACCTTGCAGAGATGTCAGTGATGGAAGCCGGACGGCGAGTGCCGCTCGCCGCTGACTCCCCGCGGAAGAAGGCACCTGCCACTCCGCGTCCCTGCTTCGCGAAACTCTGAACCGCGTCCCCGTTCGTCTCCCTTCCAACTACGCCGGGAGAAGCTGAGATCGGTGCTTCTGGTAAGGATCCTCTCGGGCTCCCTGATGATGCTGATACGCCGCGCGAGACCTTCCCATGGGACGCCGTCGGCGGGGAGGGTGGCAGCATTGCCGGTCGGGGGGATGGATGGAAGTCGGGCCTTGCGAGGTACGTACGTCCACGGATTCACCCACCAGCCTTCCCCACTCGTCGGGGGCGGAACGAGTCGATTCTTTCCGTCATCTCGGCGGCCGCAGGCTGCATGGTATGGCTTCGCCACCGTCGGCGGTGACGAGCCTCCTCACCAGTGCTACGGGTGTCGTTTTCTCGCGGCAGAAGTGCTAGACAGTCAAGCCGCGGAATGGCGAGTCGGAGTCTGTCGCCCCGTGCGTCCCGCGGTTGACAGACGCGGAGAAGCACGCGCGCGCACGCGCGCTTCCCCGAGTCCGCCAACGCCTAGATTCCCCATCTCCCAGCCTCTCGTAACCGCTTCCAGGTCCCCGCGCGGCGCAATTTTCCAGCCGCTCGATGGCGAGCAGGCAGGGAGGGAGGGAAGGAAGACGGGGGCGTTTCCGGCAATCGCGTTGCATTCCATTCCGCTGCCGTCGTCTGGGGTCGGGGTTCGGGGTTTGTCGAGTGCGGCGGTATATATGCTACGAGTTGCCGTCGTGGCTTTCTCCATCCCTCCATCGCATCCCCCTTCAGAGACACCCGCATACTCTCGCCCTCTCATCCTAGTCGTAAATACCCGGTCGTCTACGTTGGATGTGACACGTCGTTGAGTATGTACCCTTGCGCGCTGTAAGCGCCTGCTGACTGAGTGATTGCGATGCAGTGCCACGAACCTCCGCGTGTACTAGACTACGCTGGTAAGTTACGCAACACATCCGCGCTGACGTGAGATATGTAGAGGATGCTTCCGCATGTAAACGGCCGCTTACTCCCGGTAGCGTGTCACGTCCACACAGTCTGCATTGACTGGTCACTAATATCATCCACAGTAGAAATATTACAACAACAGCCGTTCAAACTGCGGATATTGTCAGGTACGCGCACTCCGCATCTGCATGCTCACCGCTGACCGCCATCCTTAGGATCCTATAAATGCAGGACCATGACTACACCCTACACCTTGGACCCGGCCCTGGGCACTTCCGACGCAGGGCACGCGGGGCTAGTCGGGAGCGTCGACGCTCTTCCCGCCCGATAAGCCACTCGCGTACGTGCACGCCTCCCGCTACGACTAGTCACTAACGTATGCATTGCAGGGACACTAGCGCGATCGAACGACTCTTTGCGCACGGCCGTTCAAGCCTGATACATGCTGCCAGCACTGTTAAGTTGGAGCTCGTGACTGAACTCGATCCATAGGAACATAGTAAATACTCGAGGTTACATAGTGACATACATAGTATCGTACACTAGCCCGCACCGTCCACGGGCTCTCGCGAGCCACCCGAGCTCGTCGCGTGCCCTGCGAACACGTCGTGCCGGCGTCTCGGACGCGGCGGTAGCGCGTCGCTCGTGACCCCACACGCCGGCGTCGAGTATGGGCCCTCGCGGCGAGGTCCGGTCTGAGGCCATGCGCGGACTGCCAGCGATTCGATGGCAGTCCGAAACAGGACCCCAGCCGAAGTTGAACCGGCGCGTTCACGGGGGAGGGTCCGCACCACGACGCGAGCGGATCGGCGCACACCCCTGAGCCTGGACCGACATACGGGACGACCCCCGAATATAGATGGCCACCGTGGCGAGCGCGCAGTGAGCGTCGCGGACGTAGAGTGGTGGGAGAGTCGATGAAGCCAACGCCGTCGGCGCGGAGACGATGGGCCGGTTCCCGATCAACCATGCTGGCGGCAACTCACGGACGGTGCACGGCGTACGCAGCAATGTCGAGCCCGCTCGATGGGCTTTGCGTGGCGGTGGCTGTTGCATACATGCATGGGGCGCCGTGCAGCACGGGAACGGAGCGGCGGCGAGGCGGCGTCGGCGATACGCGGACGTGTGGGTTGGCGGTGGTGTCGCAATATTGTCAGTAGATACAAGCAACGAAATATGACATGCCACGTACGATTGGACTCTGTCACACGCACGCAGCCCGATGTTTTGACCATGGCCCCGCCCCACGTCCCGCTCTCCCGCGATCCTGTTATTGTAGCTCGAGCGCGGGGCAGGCGTGCTTGACGTGGCTGATGCAGGGGGACGACGAGCGGAAGAGAGCGGGCGTCGACGGGCCGGCGACTCGCAGTACATAGCACCGCCACCGTGCTTCCCGAGGCGCGATCGACGCGCCTGGGAAGCGATGCTAGAGAGCGAGTGAGGAGCGGGTCTCGCAACAAGGCTCATTCACCGTCCCAGGCCCCTGCCGCTGAGGCTTCCTTCGATCCCCACAACTCGTTTAAATCCAGACCCTCGTCCGAGAATGAAAAGAAGTTTGCGCGGTTCTGTATGCGCGTTCTGACCACCGATCGTCGTTCTCCGAGCTTGTTTCCCTCTCCCCGGCTCGCATCGTCCCCCACTCGTTCTTTCCCCCTACGCGCCATGTCGCTCTCGTCGCTCGCTGATTCATAACATATCTCAGTACAATCGATTGTTCACGTCACCCTAGTCGCGTCAAGCACTATCGTAATCTACGACCATTGTGAGTGACGCTATCCCTTTCGCAGAACGCGACTGCAGCATGTCCCCGCAGTGATCACATTGGACCAGGAGGTGAGCTACCCCTAGCTTGCCTCTCCGCGAGACTGACGGTGCATCTCAGATAGACCTAATATGGGTGCGCTCGCCTGCGTACCATCCACTCTCACCATCTGAACTCCATTTCCCCGTCTTCAGAAGGCTTCATGGACACCCGGAAAAGTATTGTTCTTAACGGTGAGTATATGCGCTGATGTGCCGGCCTCCCCTTTGTTCCTTCCCGGCTCCGCGACCGGTTTTCTCGCGTCCCCTCGCTTCGTTATCCGAGCTGTCCCCGAGCTGGATGGTGCCCGGAATTCGCTGCGTACCAGAGACGTCTCTTTTCGTGGCCTCGTCATCACGCCGAAAGTCTCGCGTTCGGCTCGCCAGAGGTCGTCCCTCAGCCTGCGCGAGGTACGAGTTCATACAAGCCCTGTTGAGCCGCCAAGCTTGGTGCGAGACGCACAGAGTACGCGATATTTCCCAGTGTCATCGATACCTCAGCTTCCCTACCATGTCCTCGGTATTATGTTTGCTCGCCAGCTTAGCCTCCCCATACGCCAACTCAGGGAGCATCACGCTTCGTGCGTTGCACACATTCCGTTGACTGCCTATGATATATTGCTTTATTTCAGGCGCAGGACTTTCCACTCTAATCAGTGTGGCTTTTCACCAACTATCTACCGTGCATGCTCCTCGGCTGCCCGCCCTGTTTTCCCATTATCGTGTACTGCTCTACTCACCAGGGGTATCGGAAGGCGGCGTGCACCGTGGCCACTTGGGCTTCCGACCAGGGCACGGTGCTCGTATGTACCATCGCGCGCCGTCCCAGTACGAGACATCTCATCACTCCCCATGATTTCTCACTTAACGCTTCCTTACCTTGGCTAATGCACATTCATTCCAGAACCGCTATTACGTTCTTGCAAGTGTAACGTGAGTGCCGCATCCACTCCCTTGCCAAGCACAGTTCCTGACACGTGCGGGTCCGTGTCGCAGATTCAACAACTACGGTACGCATCTTCCCTGACTTGGACCAAAGGTTCCGCTGATATGCGGCTCCGGACCAGTTCTTTTCACCACACATCTCTCCGACTCGGTATGACATCATTCAATCTCATGTCAGAAGTGTTCTAATCCGTGATATGCAGTTGTACGTGCCCTAGTGTCAAAGAAATTTTGCAGAATCAATCTCACATTGCTCGCTGTCTTTTCCGCGGGATTAGCTGTATGTCTCCGCACTGCTAGCATGCACGTACGTCTAACCCACCGTGCAGGCATTAAATGGTTTCGATGGCAAGGCACGACGGGCTTGCTAGTGTCCATGATAGCCGAAAGTAAGTCTATCTCTCTCTTGTCCCTCTCAGGGCCCGTGACACTGCGCAGACGGCTTTGAATTCCATGTGTGCTGTGCTCAGTGCCGTGTTTTCAAAGCTGTCGGCGCGTCTAGCCTCCATCGAGCCACTCGAAAAGCAAGGGGGGGTCTCTGTAGGATAGATGTCCCACGGAAGTCCTGTCAGACGGTCACAAAGAACGGGCTTCTATGTCATACCCAAACTGCCCATCTCTCCCTCGCTCCGTCGTATACACTCATCTTACACGCACTCTCCGATAGTCATCCTCCAACTGCGCCTCTACGCGCTGTACCACCTCAACCGACGCGTGCTCGTGCTCATGTGCGGGGCGTTCCTGGTTTCAGCGGGCACAGCGGCCGTGATCATGGGCATGGTGCTCGCGCGTATATCAGGTGCGTCTCCTCCGCGCGTCCTCTCAGCGCCCCGTCCAACGCCGGCCAGCGCACTCGGGCCTGATCCCGGGCCTGCCGTTCTGCATCCCGGTGAACGTGCCCTCGTGGTTCTACACGTTCTGGATCCCGACGCTCGGCTTCGAGAGCCTGCTCTGCGCGCTCGCGTTGTTCCGCGCGTTCAAGGACTTTCGCAGCCGCACGAGCCTCTTCCAGAGCGGGCGGCACATCGTGAAGATATTGATCCGGGACTCGGTGATTTATTACCTCATGTGCGTGTGTTCTCTCCTGCTCGGAATCTGGCCTGACGGTGCTTAGTATGTTCGCGACGTACTTTACCAACCTCATCATATTCCTTACTGGCAACGTGCGTCCCGTTCCCGTTCCGCCTTCCGCCCTTCTTTGCTCACCACTAACACCCCCCAGGTCGGCGTGCTCGAGTCCGGGATCGGGTTCGCGGTGACGATGTCATGCGTCATGGGCAGCCGGCTGTGCCTGAACATCCGCGACGTGCACCACGAGCTGGAGGTGTCGACCGCGTCGCAGCAGCAGCAGCAGCAGCAGCAGCAGCAGCAGCACCTCACGCAGCCGTCGTTCGTGTCCGGCGGGCGGAGTGCGTACGGGACGGCGAGCCGCGGGACGAATATCGTGGTTTCGAGCACGTACGCGCTGACGGAGTTTGAGCTCGTGGAGCTGCGGAATTTGCGGGCGCAGGGGAAGGTGTAGGGTGGGTGGGTGTCGTTGTCCCTCGCTGCTGTATAACATCGTTCTGTTTCTCGTGTATACGTACTCCGGTTAGGAAAAATATATTTAGAGCACGCGCGCGTCAACACCATTCCCTTATGCGGCGCCGGAAAACATAGGGAGCCAATGAGGAGGGAGATGGCAGGGTTAGGGTGTTGAGGATGTTGCAAGTCCGACGCCGTTTTTCGTGGTTCGCTCGAGCATAGTCTCCCCCTATGTGGGGTCTCGTGGATTTTGGAAAAAGGGGCTTGCCCTTGTGTATTTGTGCACCGTACAAGCGTGACTACTCTACTTTACGGATGGGCGCGGAACAGGCGTGACCTTACCTCCAGGTCGTCGCGAGTGGGAGGTTGGCGTCCATGCAAGTGTTGTGACTTCCACTTGATACGCGGGTGCAACATTCCTGCCCGCTATTCTAGGATGTCCTTCACAAGTTGGTTAGACATGCGGATGGAACACACGGAAAAGCACTCACCAAGAATTTAGAGTGTCTCACTGGCTTATCTTGACCCATACTCACTCCACCGTCAGTTGTGTCTTGATGGGACTGGCAGTGAGTGACCTCCGAAGGTCCCAAGGCAGTCTTCGTAAGGGCGCATGGTCCATGAGCCTGGGAGAGCTGCCGACGGTCACCACACCGCTTGAGTAAAATAGAAAGCCGGGTTAGACATGAGTGAGAGCAAGATCACGGAATAGCACTCACCACCCATCCTGAAACCACTCCCATCCGGTGACTTTGACACGGACCACCTTCCTTCTTGATTTGATGGATAGCCTACGAGAGGACGCTGGAGAAAGCCATACGGAGATCACCAGGACAGGACAGCGACGGGGAGCACTGACATCCAGCATCGCGTCCTCCGAGAGAGCGATCGCGAGAAGACCAGCACATAATCGGCAGTCTGCATGAGAGCCCAAAGGCATACTCGATGCTGACACAGGTTACGGCTAGGCGAGCGAGACTCCGGCGATGGCGATGGCATTGGTGATGTGAACAAGTGTGTGCGACATGCTAACATTTACAGAGACTGCGCGGATGGGGAGCCAGGTCAACATGCGGGTAGAGGACAACGTGCTCGGAGGCCGGTCGCGGGATGAAATTCTATACCCACAAAGTCATACAGAGTGTCGATGTCAGATGCAGCGGGTGTGAAGACCGCATTGACGACTGAGATGTTGGTGATGTGGGCAAGTGACGTAGAGGTCGCCAACAGAGACATCGTGAAGGGGGGGCCAAGGGGACGGGCAGATAGAGGACAGCACACTCAGATGCTGGTCACGGGATGAAATTCTATACCTACAAAGCCGAAGAGGGCGTCGATGTCCAGTGCAGCGGGTGAGGTGACCGCAGTGATGACAGACATTAGTGACATGGGCGAGAAACGTAGGGGTTGCCAATAGAGACTTCGCGAAGGGGGAGCCATGGGGACGGGCAGGCAGTGGATAGCGCGCTGGGAGGCCGGTCACGGAATGAACGTCTATACCTACGACGTCGAACAGGGGATCAACGGCGGGTGCGGTGGGTGTAGAGAAGCTGTAGAGCGTCGAGAGGCAGTATGGCGGTGGGAAGACTCCATCATGTCGGGGACATGCGAAGCCATTGGCAGTGACGTGCGGGATGCAGGCAGCACGGTGCTGCTCGCCGGATGCAGTTCTTTATGTACATAGTCGAATACAATCAGCAGTGAGAAGGGGAAGGTGGCAACCAGGGGAGACGCCGCTGGCTGGACGGCGACCCTACTCGAGTGGCAACACCGCTGCGGGACGTCCTCGCAGTCAAGCGGCTCGCTAGAAGCATTTCTATACACACATCGTCTGAGTGGAGGTATACAGAGGTGGGGGGAGCTTCAGCTAACTGGCAGCGCACGTATGACCAGGCGAGAGGCCGCCCGGCGGACGGCGATACATCCCTACGTTGTTGAGCAAGGCACGCCAGAGACGGAGATGTCGACGACAGCACGATGAGCCTTCTTCCACATCGGGCTGCTCACGCGAAGGCTTCCTGTATCCACATCGTCAAGCGGGTTGCGACCGAGGCGGGCCAAGGGTGAGACAACATGGAGGTGCGTCGGGACACTGAGCTGGGGCTGCGCAAGCCGCTTGCGGGAAGGAAATCTGTCTATACACCGTGCGGCAGGAGGGAGTCGGTCCACAAGGCTCTAGGTGGTCCGGATGAATCTGCCTATGCTGTGGGTGGAAATGGCCCGTGCATTGCCGACGCCTCGCATGCGCTTGTCGGTATCCACCTCAGCGAAGGGGCAATGTGGTATCAGCCCACATCCATACAGCGGGGGGTGGGAGAGTATCGTGGTGAGCGTGGTAGGCATCACGGGTGGTGCGTAGTGTTGACTGACGGATACAAGTCAGTACGAGGCCTGCTCACGAGGCGTCCAAAACATACCTAGCAAGTCAGATGTCTGTGATCACAGCTAAGTCTTGGAAGTAACCTCCCGTGCACTATCCACGGTGTCTTATCCTCCAGATTCCGAAGCGTCTGCCCGATGCCTTTCTGTCCGCAGGCTAGCATCAGCCTCACAAAAGCGTCTGTGTGCTCGTGCTGGTGACATGTGGACGGGGACTGGGAGTGAGGCGCACATAACGCAGACGTAGGTGATAGGATGGCACATGACTACGCTGAGATGAGCTGATGTCCTGTGTCCGCGACGAGGCAACAACATACCATCATCCGGCAGTGTGGCATCGCCGTAATCATCCTCTTCCGCGCGCTCCATTGGCAGGCTTGCCCTCTCCCCCATCCAACCAGGTTAAACGGTGTTGACCCAAGTGAGAGTGAGGAAGACGTAGACAGTGCACAGGATGGGGAGGACCTGGGACAGTCGCAACATCGGAGCCTTCCCACAAGCGCTGGGATAGCACTGCGTGACTATGGGAGTGCTGATGAGGTAGAGGGGAAGTCGGCAGTAGATTTACTAACCATGACGCGTTAGTTTGAGTATATCGGTGCAAAAGACACAACAACATACACGTCTCATTTAATGCTCCATCCCAGTCTGTTGCTCATACTCCTTCTGCTCTCCAATAACTCCCGCCCTTCGCCTTAAATTCGTAGTTACAGCTGGTGGTGCACGGGGCAGACAGTGAGAAACACATGTAAGTCGCCATTGACCCTGAGGGGAGAGACGGTAGGCGGGTGCAGGGCACCAAGGACGGAGACGGAAGCAGAGGATCATAGAGAACGATCATAGAACTGGGACAGAGAGTCTGACTGCACTACTGTTAGCGACCGAGTCCTCGTTGACAAAGCGCACGACGCGGACACACCTTGACTTGCGTTGGCGTGTGGCAGTGTCAACTGCCTAGATTGGACAATGTGGCGGATCTGTCTACGCGGTCAGCATTCTCCCTCGTTCATCGCAGCAGCGCAAAGAAATACCTCGGAGCTACAAAGTCAGACTGTATAACTATGCTGCAGCTGAGGAACGAGCAACGAAGGACAGATGGGTGTCTGAACGAGCAAGCGAGGGCAGCGGCAGACAGGCAGTGGTGGCAGAGCAGAATGTATGGTCAACCAGTCGAGCATAATGAGGGCATAGTGACGGGCTAGGGAGGTCGACTAAAGTGAGAACCAGCCTTTATACTTGACAAACCCTCACTTGATCCCCGTGTTGACAGCCACCTTCCAAGCAACTGAAGCCAGAATCCTGCGTGAGGCTTGTCAACGGTGCTGGTCCGATGTGCCCGGATCGCGGAGATTATGCGTGGTTCAATTTGATCCAGGCATGATCTCCGTACCCCGAGATGCTCGGACCCACCGCGAAGCTGTCAGAGTGAAACATCCTGGCACAGCCCTTTCAATCCTGTGCAGTGTAAGAAGGCTCACTTCAGAGCTTGGAATTGCGTGCAAAGTCTCAAATCTCAGTAATGTGATTCACTATACTCTCAGAATACCAAGTAGATACGGTCACAACCAGTCCCTCATGAGATTTGAAGTCTGAGGTCTCACCCGAGGACTTAGAGCCCAAGCTTCCCAGCTTTCGAAGTCCTGTCAAGCTTGGCAGCTCCTTGACAGGATACAGGGTGTCACCCTGTCTTTGGTACATGAATACTTGGAAGTGTACACTCTGAAACACACTCTCAGATTAATATGGAAATTGACTTACCAGGAACTATCTGGCATGCTATGGAAGCGGCCACTTCGAACGCATACCAGACAGTTCCCTGGAAAGCTGATGGCTACGGAACGGACTCAGGGGCAGTCGAAGTGAGACCTTGTTCAAGCTCGCGCAGGGTACATAGCTGCTGTACAGCTCCGGTCATCAGGAACACAATGAGTCAATTGAACAGTCGCAATGAGATTGTTGATCGCGAACTCTGCCGACGCTGCCCCTTCGGACTATTCTCGGGACTGTAGTGAACTTGAATACTGCATTGTGACGCAAACTGGACCAACATGATGCCACAATGGACTGGCAACGGTCTATTATTCAAATGTGGTGAGCTCGCGGTTGGACAACAAGTGCTAGGACCGGACCCGTGCAAGTGATACCTTCCCAGTGAATGTTGAACCACGGTGGGTTGAGCACCCTTCAGCGGGATTGTCCGGGACAGTGCCAGACAGCTAGCTTACCGTCTTGACCGCTCCGATCCCGGCGCTGGAACTTGCACCGAGATGATGGAGGTGCATACTTACGGTTGTCGAGATCTGGTAGGATCCATTGATCACACACGTTCAGCAGCGTTACTACCGAGCCATAGCGTGCGTGCAGTCAGCCCTAGTATCGACAAGTCGTTGCTATGCCAGTGGTCCATCATTGAGACTTACCGAGTCGTCTGCATGTCAACAAAGACAAGTCATCGATGAGCTCGCGCTGCAGCTCTATGGCTTGCAGGTGACGTACCTCGACCTATCTCTAGTCGCATGACTGTTCGACATTGAGACGCGAGGAGCAACACAGTGTCATTGGCCATACGTGTGAGTGCTACATGTTTTCAGGCTTGGGCATGGCCGTAGAACTGATCTACAGCGCAATCTTATTACATTTCAGTCAGTATCTCGCTCACAATGGCCTGACGGCATGCGTTCGAGCAATACTTATGAGGACTTGCACCAACGGCAATACAACATACCGTATACCACCAGACATAGAGTAAATAGGAGCATATATAATGTCCTGAGCGGCGAGAGATGGGCTGCGATGACGGGTCCGTAATACAGCGCAATCGCAAGGACGAGCAATTAGATAAGGACTTACAGATATCAATCACATCGTATGCACTACACGGAGCTTCTTGTGGTCCAAATGTTTAGAAACAACGTCCTGAACACTGACAGATGCGCTGCGATGACGGGTCCGTACTACTGCACAACATGAAAGGAAAGAGGATACGGATGAGCTCTCACAAATAACAAATGCATTGTGTGCACTATAAGGTAGCTTCTTCGAGCTATCGTCTAGACGTGCCGTCCTGAACGGCGACGGATGGACTGCGAAAGCGGGATCATATCAGCGGGGATAAGTAGAAGTGAATACAAACACTTACTGACCATACACACCTTGTATGCCCGTTAGCTTGAATGATCCCAAGGTCTCTGTGCGAATGGGGACAGATGGGCTGCGATGACGGGTCTTGACCCGTCCACAGCCTGGGCATTATTCAATACCCTGGAAGCGACGGATTGATTGTCATTAGCTACACCATACTACCCTCTCGTCTCAGGCTGTAACTCAGGCTGTAATAATTTACTTGTTGTAACATGTTCACGGACGTCCTGAACGGCGACGGACGGGCTGCATCGTGATTGTCGTGGAATGCTTACTGGTCAATCATTACCCACTGCCCGTCCTTGCCATATACACTCAGATCAATACTCGACGCCGATTTGTAGACAGCGTCCGAAATCATATCCAGTCATCATCCAGGCGTGCATCTGCCGGATAGTGCACTCTCGATGGACACGGACAAGGCTGGATTGCAACTCCGACGCACGACGCGTCTCGAGCCCGACGCGTCTTGTGCTCTCTCCAACTCTGGGTGATCTGCACGCTCCCGTACATCCCGATCGACTCTCAGCTTATAGTCAATGATCATGGTCTGAACGAGGCTGAATTTCTCTTTTTACGTGTCGTAACGGCTACGCGGGACTGGTTCGTGTTGCGCGAGAAGCCTTTGAACAGCAAGTAAGATATCTATGTTATTGCTGCTGCTGCATACGATGGCAATGCTGGACACCGACATTCATCCAGAGCCTATTCAGTAGGTAGACGCGCTGGAATGCCTCTGACGACATTCAGAGATCTACAGAACCCATCAACCTCAGCTATCCGATCCTGCATTGATGGGACCTGCCCCTGACTTTGACTGCACGTCGGTAGCCACGCAGCTCGTCGAGGACTGCGCTACGGACGATTCTGAAGGCAGCGCGATGTGGAGGGATGTCGAGGCAAGCGGGGAAGACAACGGGGCTTACGCGGTGCGTCTTCCTGTTCGTACGCTTCGCCTATGGACCTGCCGATTCTGTCCCTATGTCGCGGAATGGAGTTCGCGTGCGCCCAGAGATACCGCTGCTTTGCGCCATCTCCGCCGGTAGCGGGTGCGAGGCCGTAAAATCAGTTCTCTGGCGGCCCTTGACGCTCTCGCACGGATTACACCATGAATGGGATTCTCCGGTAGATTCGCTTCATTCCAATGGCCCACGGAGGTGTAGGTATTCGTACTGTCTGCGCTGAATTGCCCTACCATTTCATAAGTTGTGTGTGGTTATTTCCTCGCCCGTCGTAGTCAGCGTACGCCGTCTGTGCATCAGGCTTGGAGGGAGCCTGGACTCGGCTGAGGGAAGCTCTTACCTTCGGCCAGGACTCTTGCGCCTTACGCGGTTTCCGCGGTCGAATGCGAAGCGGAAGCAGCCGATCGTTGACTCACTCCGTCGAGGAGTAATGGCGTCGGCTTCCCCTTCGCATTCGCCCGCAGTCATTTGTAAGACTTGCAAGAGGGAGCTCGTCTTCCTACCTGGCACGAGTGTCACACCGCTGCTCGTTTGCGAAGCAGGTACGTGCCGTGAACCCGCGTTGTTGATTGAAACGCAGAAGCTAGTCAATGGCCAGTGCTCCATTCCTGCTGGTCTGACATGACAGCAGGAGTCGCACCGATCGATTGTTCTCGTAAGGGTTCATGATGATTTGTTGATTCGTCAGTCTCCTCACATTGTTCAGCCTCTGCCGCTCCTCTCGGTAAGGGTAGATGCCATCCAAGGATCATCGTCGTGTGTAGGGGAATTCTCTGGCCTCCCAGCGCGGTGCGATGACTCTCGTTTGATGTACATATTCACGAATATCCTGTAGGAAAGCACCGCGTCTGGCGCGTCCGAGGTCTGGAAGGCTATCCTTACAGAGACGTCAGTGATGGAAGCTGGACGGCGGGTGCCGCTCGCCGCTGACTCCCCGTGGAAGAAGGCACCCGCCACTCCGCGTCCCTGCTTTGCGCCGTTGACTGAAACATCGAAGCGCGTCGGCCATTCCTCTCCATTCCGACTACGCCGGGAGAAGCTGACATCAATGCTTCTGGTAAGGATCCTCTCGGGCTCCCTGTTGATGCTGATACGCCGCGCGAGACCTTCCCCTGGGACGCGTCGGCGGGGAGGGTGGCAGCATTGCCGTTCGGGGGGATGGATGGAAGTCGAGCCTTGCGAGGTACGTACGTCCACGGATTCACCCACCAGCCTTCCCCACTCGTCGGGGGCGGAACGAGTCGATTCTTTCCGTCATCTCGGCGGCCGCAGGCTGCATGGTATGGCTTCGCCACCGTCCGCGGTGACGAGTCTCTTCACCAGTGCTACGGGTGTCGTTTTCTCGCAGCAGAAGTGCTAGACAGTCAATCCGCGGAATGGCGAGTCGGAGTCTGTCGCCCCGTGCGTCCCGCAGTTGACAGACGCGGAGAAGCACGCGCGCGCACGCGCGCTTCCCCGAGTCCGCCAACGCCTGGATTCCCCATCTCCCAGCCTCTCGTAACCGCTTCCAGGTCCCCGCGCGGCGCAATTTTCCAGCCGCTCGATGGCGAGCAGGGAGGGAGGGAGGGAAGGAAGACGGGGGCGTTTCCGGCAATCGCGTTGCATTCCATTCCGCTGCCGTCGTCTGGGGTCGGGGTTCGGGGTTTGTCGAGTGTGGGTGGTATATATGCTGCGAGTCGCCGTCGTGGCTTTGTCCATCCCTCCACCGCATCCCCCTTCAGAGACACCCGCTTACTCTCGCCCGCTCGTCCTAGTCGTAATTACGCGGTCGTCCCCGTTGGATGTGACGCGTCGCTGGTTGAGTATGTACCCTTGCACGCTGTAAGCGCCTGCTGACTGAGTGATTGCGATGCAGTGCCACGAACCTCCGCGTGTACTAGACTATGCCGATGAGTTACGCAGCACATCCGCTGCTCTGCGCTGACGTGAGATATCTAGAGGATGCTTCCGCGTGTACACGGCCGCTTACCCTCGGTAGCGTGTGACGTCCACACAGTGTGCATTGAGTGGTCACTCATATCATCCCCAGTAGAAATAATACAACAACAGCCGTTCAAATCGGGGATATCATCAGGTACGCGCACTCCGCATCCGTATGCTCACCGCTGATTGCCATCCTTAGGATCCTGTAAATGCAGGACCCTGACTACACCCTACACCTTGGACCCGGCCCTGGGCACTTCCGACGCAGGGCACGCGGGGCTAGTCGGGAGCGTCGACGCTCTTCCCGCCCGATAAGCTAGTCGCGTACGTGCACGCCTCCAGCTACGACTAGTCACTGACGTATGCATTGCAGGGACACTAGCGCGATCGAATGACTCTTAGGCCTGATACGTGCTGCTGGCGCTTTGAACATGGAGCTCGCGATTGAGCTCTATCCATAGGATCATAGTAAATACTCGAGGCTAAGTAGTGACATACATAGTATCATACACTAGCCCGCGCCGTCCACGGGCTCTCACGAGCCACCCGAGCTCGTCGCGTGCCCTGCGGACACGTCGTGCCGGCGACTCGGACGCGGCGGTAGCGCGTCGCTCGTGACCCCACACGCCGGCGTCGAGTATGGGTCCTCGCGGGGAGGTCCGGTCTGAGGCCATGCGCGGACGGCCAGCGATTCGATGGCAGTCCGAAACAGGACCCCAGCCGAAGTTGAACCGGGGCGGTCACGGGGGAGGGTCCGCACCACGACGCGAGCGGATCGGCGCACACCCCTGAGCCTGGACCGACATACGGGACGACCCCCGAATATAGATGGCCACCGTGGCGAGCGCGCAGTGAGCGTCGCGGACGTAGAGTGGTGGGAGAGTCGACGAAGCCAACGCCGCCGGCGCGGAGACGATGCGGCGGTGCCCGATCAACCATGGTGGCGGCAACTCACTCTGGCTGTAAGGACGGTGCACGGCGTACGCAGCAATGTCGAGCCCGCTCGATGGGCTTTGAGTGGCGGTGGCTGTTGCATACATGCATCGGGCGCCGTGCAGCACGGGAAAGGAGCGGCGGCGAGGCGGCGACGGCGATACGCGGACGTGTGGGTTGGCGGTGGTGTCGCAATATTGTCAGTAGATACAAGCAACGAAATATGACATGCCACGTACGATTGGACTCTGTCACACGCACGCAGCCCGTTGTGTTGACCATGGCCCCGCGTCACGTCCCGCGCTCCCGCGATCCTGTTATTGCAGCTCGAGCGCGTGGCAGGCGTGCTTGACGTGGTTGATGCAGGGGGACGACGAGCGGAAGAGAGCGGGCGTCGACGGGCCGGCGACTCGCAGTACATAGCACCGCCACCGTGCTTCCCGAGGCGCGATCGACGCGCCTAGGAAGCGATGCTAGAGAGCGAGTGAGGAGCGGGCCTCGCAACAAGGCTCATTCACCGTCCAGGCCCCGGTCCGCTGAGGCTTCCTTCGATCCCAACAACTCAATTTAAACCTAGGCCCGCGTCCGCAACGGGGAAATGCGAGAATGAAAAGAAGTTTGCGAGGTTCTGTATACGCGTTCTGACCACCGATCGTCGTTCTCCAAGCTTGTTTCTCTCTTTCCCCCCTGGACGCGTTTCCCCACTCGTTCGTTCCCCCAACGCGCCATGTCGCTCTCGTCGCTCGCTGATGTGTTCGCCCCGTTCGTTAGGGAGATCCAGTCGGCCCGGTACGCGGAACGTAAGTCATAACATATCTCGACATAATCGCTAGCGTCCCGCTCACGTCACCCCAGTCGCGTCAAGCACTATCGTCATCTACGACCATTGTGAGTGACGCTATCCCTTTCGCAGAACGCGACTGCAGCATGTCCCCGCAGTGATCACATTGGACCAGGAGGTGAGCTACCCCTAGCTTGCCTCTCCGCGAGACTGACGGTGCATCTCAGATAGACCTAATATGGGTGCGCTCGCCTGCGTACCATCCACTCCCACGAGCTGAACTCCATCTCCCCGTCTTCAGAAGGCTTCATGGACACCCGGAAAAGTATTGTTCTTAACGGTGAGTATATGCGCTGTTGTCTCTTATTACTTCGGACCCTCCCAGAGGCCCTACGAGGATGCTCGGTACATATCTCGCCCGTGTCTCATTCCTTTCTGCTCAGCATGGGCTGCAGTCTCTAATTTCCCTGCCTCGACGACTAATTTCCTCGTGCCCGCTCGCTGCATCCTCCGTACCTTTCTCGAGCTGGGTAGTGCTTCGGTATTGGTTGCGTCTCAAGAGCACCTGTTTCCGTGGCTTCGTCATCGCGCTGTACGCCATACGTGCGGCTCACTGACGTCCCTCCCTCTGCTGGCCCGAGGTACGAATTGAAGAGGACATTGTTGCTTCTTCGGTTTCCCGCCCACGCACGGTGCTCGTATTTACCATCGCGCTCCGTCCCAGTACTGGACATCTCATTACTCCCCATAATTTCTCACTTGCTGTGGCTGACACTATTGCATGATAGAACCGCTATTACGTTCTTGCAAGTGTAATGTGAGTGCCGCATCCACTCCCTTGCCAAGCACAGTTCCTGACACGTGCGGGTCCGTGTCGCAGATTCAACAACTACGGTACGCATCTTCCCTGACTTGGACCAAAGGTTCCGCTGATATGCGGCTCCGGAACAGTTCTCTTCACCACACATCTCTCCGACTCGGTATGACATCATTCAATCTCGCGTCAAGCGTGTTCTAATCCGTGATATGCAGTTGTACGTGCCTGAGTATCCAGGATTTCTCGTTCAATCGTTCTCACATGCATTCACTGTCTCTGCACGGAAATAGCTGTATGTATTCGCACTCTTGGCGTAGACGCGCGTCTAACGTGGTGTGCAGGCGTTAAATGGTTTCGATGGCAAGGGACAACGGGCTTACTGGTGTCCATGATAGCCGAAAGTAAGTCTATTGCTATCTTGTCTCTCTCAAGTGACTGCGACGGGGCCTCTTTTGCCGTAAACCCGTGGGCACATATACCGCACAGGCGGTCTTGGAGTCCCACGGGCGCTCTACCAAGTGTTCTGGATCCAAGGATATTGGCACGTCTACTCTCCATAGAGCCACCCGAATCCAAAGGAGGATCTCCATAGGATAGATGCGCCCTGGAAGTCCTGTTAGACTGGTCAACAAAGACCGAGTTTCTGTGTTATACCGTTTATCCCTCTCTCGGTTGTATGCACTCGACTCACCCTCACCCCCCGACAGTCATCCTCCAACTGCGACTCTACGCGCTGTACCACCTCAACCGACGCGTGCTGGTGCTCATGTGCGGGGCGTTCTTGGTTTCAGCGGGCACAGCGGCCGTGATCATGGGCACGGTGCTCGCGCGTATATCAGGTGCGTCTCCTCCGCGCGTCCTCTCTGCGCCCCGTCCAACGCCGGCCCAGCGCACTCGGGCCTGATCCCGGGCCTGCCGTTCTGCATCCCCGTGAACGTGCCCTCGTGGTTCTACACGTTCTGGATCCCGACGCTGGGCTTCGAGAGCCTGCTCTGCGCGCTCGCGTTGTTCCGTGCGTTCAAGGACTTTCGCAGCCGCACGAGCCTCTTCCAGAGCGGGCGGCACATCGTGAAGATATTGATCCGGGACTCGGTGATTTATTACCTCATGTGCGCGCGTTCTCTTCTGCTCGGACTCGGGCCTGACGGTGTTTAGTATGTTTGCGACGTACTTTACCAACCTCATCATATTCCTCACTGGCAACGTGCGTCCCGCCTTCCGCCCTTCTCTGCTCACCACTAACACCCCCCAGGTCGGCGTGCTCGAGTCCGGGATCGGGTTTGCGGTGACGATGTCGTGCGTGATGGGCAGCCGGCTGTGCCTGAACATCCGCGACGTGCACCACGAGCTGGAGGTGTCGACCGCGTCGCAGCAGCAGCAGCAGCAGCAGCACCTCACGCAGCCGTCGTTCGTGTCCGGCGGGCGGAGTGCGTACGGGACGGCGAGCCGCGGGACGAATATCGTGGTTTCGAGCACGTATGCGCTGACGGAGTTTGAGCTCGTCGAGTTGCGGAATTTGCGGGCGCAGGGGAAGGTGTAGGGTGGGTGGGTGTCGTTGTCCCTCGCTGCTGTATAACGTCAGTCTGTTTCTCGTGTATACGTACTCCGGTTAGGGAAAATGTATTTAGAGCACGCGTGCATCAACACCATTCCCTTATGCGGCGCCGGAAAACATAGGGAGCCAATGAGGAGGGAGATGGCAGGGTTAGGGTGTTGAAAGTGTTGCAAGTCCGACGCCGTTTTTCGTGGTTCGCTCGAGCATAGTCTCCCCCTATGTGGGGTCTCGTGGATTTTGGAAAAAGGGGCTTGCCCTTGTGTATTTGTGCACCGTACAAGCGTGACTACTCTACTTTACGGATGGGCGCGGAACAGGCGTGACCTTACCTCCAGGTCGTCGCGAGTGGGAGGTTGGCGTCCATGCAAGTGTCGTGACTTCCACTTGATACGCGGGTGCAACATTCCTGCCCGCTATTCTAGGATGTCCTTCACGAGTTGGTTAGACATGCGGATGGAACACACGGAAAAGCACTCACCAAGAATTTAGAGTGTCTCACTGGCTTATCTTGACCCGTAGTTAGTCCGCTATCAACCGCATCTTGATGGAACTGCCCACGAGTGACCGCGAAAGGTCCCAAGGCAGTCTTCGTGAGCGCGCATGGTCCATGAGCCTGGGAGCGCGGCCGATGGTCACCACACCGCTTGAGTAAAATAGAAAGCCGGGTTAGACATGAGTGAGAGCAAGATGATGGAATAGCACTCACCACCCATCCTGAAACCACTCCCATCCGGTGACTTTGAGACGGACCACCTTCCTTCTTGATTTGATGGATAGCCTACGAGAGGACGCTGGAGAAAGCCATACGGAGATCACCAGGACAGGACAGCGATGGGGAGCACTGACATCCAGCATCGCGTCCTCCGAGAGAGCGATCGCGAGAAGACCAGCACATAATCGGCAGTCTGCATGAGAGCCCAACGGCATACTCGATGCTGACACAGGTTACGGCTAGGTGAGCGAGACTCCGGCGATGGCGATGGCATTGGTGATGTGAACAAGTGTGTGCGACATGCTAACATTTACAGAGACTGCGCGGATGGGGAGCCAGGTCAACATGCGGGTAGAGGATAACGTGCTCGGAGGCCGGTCGCGGGATGAAATTCTATACCCACACAGTCGAACAGGGGGTCGATGTCAGATGCAGCGGGTGTGAAGACCGCATTGACGACTGAGATGTTGGTGATGTGGGCAAGTGACGTAGAGGTCGCCAACAGAGACATCGTGAAGGGGGGGCCAAGGGGACGGGCAGATAGAGGACAGCGCACTCAGATGCTGGTCACGGGATGAAATTCTATACCTACAAAGCCGAAGAGGGCGTCGATGTCCAGTGCAGCGGGTGAGGTGACCGCAGTGATGACAGACATTAGTGACATGGGCGAGAAACGTAGGGGTTGCCAATAGAGACTTCGCGAAGGGGGAGCCATGGGGACGGGCAGGCAGTGGATAGCCGGTCACGGGATGAACGTCTATACCTACGACGTCGAACAGGGGATCAACGGCGGGTGCGGTGGGTGTAGAGAAGCTGTAGAGCGTCGAGAGGCAGTATGGCGGTGGGAAGACTCCATCATGTCGGGGACATGCGAAGCCATTGGCAGTGACGTGCGCGATGCAGGCAGCACGGTGCTGCTCGCCGGATGCAGTTCTTTATGTACATAGTCAAATACAATCAGCAGTGAGAAGGGGAAGGTGGCAACCAGGGGAGACGCCGCTGGCTGGACGGCGTCCCTACTCGAGTGGCAACACCACTGCGGGACGTCCTCGCAGTCAAGCGGCTCGCTAGAAGCATTTCTATACACACATCGTCGGAGTGGAGGTATACAGAGGTGGGGGGAGCTTCAGCTAACTGGCAGCGCACGTATGACCAGGCGAGAGGCCGCCCGGCGGACGGCGATACATCCCTACATTGTTGAGCAAGGCACGCCAGAGACGGAGATGTCGACGATGGCATGATGAGCCTTCTTCCACATCGGGCTGCTCACGCGAAGGGTTCCTGTATCCACATCGTCAAGCGGGTTGCGACCGAGGCGGGCCAAGAGCGAGACAACATGGAGATGCATCGGGACACCGAGCTAGGGCTGCGCAAGCTGCTTGGGGAAGGAAATCTGTCTATACACCGCGTGGCAGGAGGGAGTCGGTCCACAAGGCTCTAGGTGGTCCGGATGAATCTGCCTGCTGTGGGTGGAAAAGGCCCACTCATCGCCGACGCCTCGCACGCGCTTGTCGGTATCCACGTCAGTGAAGGCGAAATCTGGTATCGGCCCACATCCATACGGCAGGGGTGGGAGAGTATCGTGGTGAGCGTGGTGGGCATCACGAGTGGTGTGTAGTGCTGACTGACGGATACAAGTCAGTACGAGGCCTGCTCACGAGGCTTCCAGAACATACCTAGCAAGTCGGATGTCTGTGATCACGGCTAAGTCTTGGAAGTAACCTCCCGTGCACTATCCACGGTGTCTTATCCTCCAGATTCCGAAGCGTCTGCCCGATGCCTTTCTGTCCGCAGGCTAGCGTCAGCCTCACGAAAGCGTCTGTGTGCTCGTGCTGGTGACATGTGGACGGGGACTGGGAGTGAGGCGCACAGAACGCAGATGTGGGGGAATAGGACGGCACAAGACTACGCTGAGATGAGCTGATGTCCCGTGTCCGCGAGGAGGCAACGACATACCATATCATCCGGCAGTGTGGCGTCGCCGTAGTCATCCTCCTCTGCGCGCTCCATTGGCAGGCTTGCCCTCTCCCCCATCCAATCAGGTGAAACGGTGTTGACCCGATCGAGAGTAGGGAGGGCATGCACAAGATAGGGGAGGACCTGGGACAGTCGACAGTCGAAGTCGTTATCGGAGCCTTCCCACATGCGCTGGGCTAGCGCTGCGTGACTATGGGAGTGCTGATGAGGTAGACGGGAAGTGCGTAGTAGATCCACTAAACATGATGCGTCAGTTCGAGTATATCGGTGCAAATGGCACAACAACATACGCATTGCAATCAAAGCTCCATCCCAGTCTCCTGCTCATACTCCTTCTGCTCATCCATACCTCCCGACCTTCGCCTTAAATTCATAGTTGCAGCTCGCGGTGTACCAGGCAGACGGTGAGAGACACGTGCAAGTCGCCATAGACTCTGAGGGGAGAGACGGTAGCTGGGCGCAGGGCACCAAGGACGGACATGGAAGCGGAGGATCATAGAGAATGATCATATAACTGGGACAGAGAGTCTGACTGCACCACAGTTAGCAACCGAGTACTCGTTGACAAAGGGCACGACGCGGACGCACCTTGACTTGCGTTGGCGTGTGGCAGTGTCAACTGCCTAGATTGGACAATGTGGCGGATCTGTCTACGCGGTCAGCATTCTACCTTACTCATCGCAGCAGCGCAAAGAAATACCTCAGAGCTATAGATTCAGACCGTATAACTATGCTGCAGCTGAGGGACGAGCAACGATGGACAGATGGGTGTCTGAACGAGCAAGCGAGGGCAGCAGCAGACAGGCAATGGTGGCAGAGCGGAATGTATGGTCAACCAGTCGAGCATAATGAGGGCATAGTGACGGGCTAGGGAGGTCGACTAAAGTGAGAACCAGCCTTTATACTTGACAAACCCTCACTTGATCTCCGTGTTGACAGCCACCTTCCAAGCGACTGAAGCCAGAATCCCGCGCGAGGACAGGAAGGCTTGTCAACAATGTTGGTCCGATTGGCCCGGATCGCGGAGATTATGTGTGGTTCAATTCGATCCAGGCATAATCTCCGTACCCCGAGATGCTCGGACCCTCCGCGAAGCTGTCAGAGTGAAACATCCTGGCACAGCCCTTTCAATCCTGTGTGGTGTAAGAAGGCTCACTTCAGAGCTTGGAATTGCGTGCAAAGTCTCAAATCTCAGTAGTGTGATTCACTATACTTTCAGAATACCAAGTAGACACAGTCGCAACCAGGCTCTCATGGGATTTGAAGTCTCACCCGAGTACTTAGAGCATAAGCTTCCCAGCTTTCGAAGTCCTGTCAAGCTTGGCAGCTCCTTGACAGGATGCAGGGTGTCACTCTGTCTTCGAGATGCGAAGACTTGGAAGTGTACACTCTGAAACACTCTCTCAGCTCAATATAGAAATTGACTTACCAGGAATTATCTGGCATGCTATGGAAGCGGCCACTTTGAACGCATACCAGACAGTTCCCTGGAAAGCTGATGGCTACGGCACGGACTCAGCTCACACCGTGGTCAGTCGAAGTGAGACCTTGTTCAAGCTCGCGCAGGGTACATAGCTGCTGTACAGCTCCGGTCATCAGGAACACAATGAGTCAATTGAACAGTCGCAATGGGATTGTTGATCGCAAACTTTGCTGACTTCGGACTATTCTCGGGACTGTAGTGAACTTGAATACTGCGTTGTGACGCAAACTGGACCAACATAATGCCACAATGGACTGGCGATGGTCTATTATTCAAATGTGGTGAGCTCGCGGTTGGACAACAAGTGCTAGGACCGGACCCGTGCAAGTGATACCTTCCCAGTGAATGTTAAACCACGGTGGGTTGAGCACCCTTCAGCACGATTGTCCGGGACAGTGCCAGACAGCTAGCTTACCGTCTTGACCGCTCGGAGCTCCGATCCCGGCGCTGGAACTTGCACCGAGATGATGGAGGTGCATACTTACGGTTGTCAAGATCTGGTAGGATCCATTGATCACACACGTTCAGTGCCGTTACTACCGAGCCATAGCGTGCGTGCAGTCAGCCCTAGAATCGACAAGTCGTTGCTATGCCAGTGGTCCATCATTGAGACTTACCGAGTCGTCTGCATGTCAACAAAGACAAGTTGATCAGTTCGCGCTGCAGCTCTATGGCTTGCACGCGACGTACCTTGTCCTATCTCTAATCGCATGACTGATCGAGATTCAGATGCGAGGAGAAACGCAGTGTCATCGGGCATACGTGTGAGTGCTGCGTGTTTTCAGGCTTGGGCATGGCCGTAGAACAGATCTACAGCGCAATCTTATTACATTTCAGTCAGTATCTCGCTCACAATGGCCTGACGGCATGAGTTCGAGCAATACTTATGAGGACTTGCACCAGCGGCAATACAACATACCATATACCACCAGACATAGAGTAAATAGGAGCATATATAATGTCCTGAGCGGCGAGAGATGGGCTGCGATGACGGGTCCGTAATACAGCGCAATCGCAAGGACGAGCAATTAGATAAGGACTTACAGATAGCAATCACATCGTATGCGCTACACGGAGCTTCATCTGGTCCAACGTCCAACGTTTAGAAACAAAGTCCTGAACACTAAAAGATGCACTGCGATGATGGGTCCGTACTACTGCACAACATGAAAGGAAAGAGGAGACGGATGAGCTCTCACAAATAACAAATGCATTGTGTGCACTATAAGGTAGCTTCTTCGAGCTATCGTCTAGACGTGCCGTCCTGAACGGCGACGGATGGACTGCGATAGCGGGATCATATCAGCGGGGATAAGTAGAAGTGAATACAAACACTTACTGACTATACACACCTTGTATGTCCGTTAGCTTGAACGATCCCAAGGTCTCTGTGCGAACGGGTACAGATTATAATGGGCTGCGATGACGAGTCTTGACCCGTCCACAGCTTGGGCATTATTCAATACCCCGGAAGCGACGGATTGATTGCCATTAGCTACACCATACTAACCTCTTGTATCAGGCTGTAATAATTCAGTTGTGGTAACATGTTCAGGGACGTCCTGAACGGCGACGGACGAGCTGCATTGTCGCGGAATGCTTACTGGTTAATCACTACCCACTGCCCGTCCTTGCCATATACACTCGGATCAATACTCTACGCCGATTTGTAGACAGTGTCCGAAATCATATCCAGTGATCATCCAGGCGTGCATCTGCTGGAGAATGCACTCTCGATGGACGCGGACAAGGCTCGATTGCAACTCCGACGCACGACGCGTCTCGAGCCCGACGCGTCTTGTGCTCCCTCCAACTCTGGGTGATATGCCCGCTTCCGTACATCCCGACCGACTTTCAGCTTATAGTCAATGATCATGGTCTGAACGAGGCTGAATTTCTCTTTTTACGTGTCGTAACGGCTACGCGGGACTGGTTCGTGTTGCGCGAGAAGCCTTTGAACAGCAAGTAACATATCTATGTTATTGCTGCTGCTGCATACGATGGCAATGCTGGACACCGACATTCATCCAGAGCCTATTCAGTAGGTAGACGCGCTGGAATGCCTCTGACATTCAGAGATCTACAGAACCCATCAACCTCAGCTGTCCGATCCTGCATTGATGGGACCTGCCCCTGACTTTGACTGCACGTCGGTAGCCACGCAGCTCGTCGAGGACTGCGCTATGGACGATTCTGAAGGCAGCGCGATGTGGAGGGATGTCGAGGCAAGCGGGGAAGACAACGCGGCTGACGTGGTGCGTGTTCCTGTTCGTACGCTTCGCCTATGGACCTGCCGATTATGTTCCTATGCCACGGAGTGGAGTTACCGTGCGGGCACGAATGCGCGGCCTCTGCTCTCTGTTGACGGAGATAGCGTTGTTTTGCGCCATCTCCACTGACAGCGGGGATGGGGCTGTAAATTCAGTTCTCGGACGGCCCTCGATGCTTGCGCGCGCATTACACATTCCCCGAAGCTTCGCTCCATTCCATGGGCGCAGGAGTGAGTATCCGTACTGTCTGCACTGAATTCCCTGAGGCTCGGCCTACCGTCTCGTATGCTGTGAGTGTCTATTTCGTCACCAATCATAGTCAGCCTACGGCGTCGGTGCATCGGCTGGTCAACACGAAGCAGGACTCGGCAGAGGGGAGCTCTTACCCTTGCCGAGAACTGTCGCGCCTTGCGCGGTTTCCGCGGACGAATGAGAAGCGGAAGCAGCCGATCGTTGACTCGCTCCGTCGAGGAGTAATGGCGTCGGCTTCCCCTTCGCATTCGCCGCAGTCAAGAGGGAGCTCGTCTTCCTACCTGGCGGTAGTGTCACACGGCTGCTAGTTCGCGAAGCAGGTACGTGCCGTGAACCCGCGTTGTTGATTGAAACGCAGAAGCTAGTCAACGGCGAGTGCTCCATTCCTGCTGGTCTGACATGACAGCAGGAGTCGCACCGATCGATTGTTCTCGTAAGGGTTCATGTTGATTTGTTGATTCA